CTCTGTCACTTCCTGGCTGTGGCTCAAGTCAAGATCTGAGCCTCTGTCAACTCTATAAAATAGGGATGACACAGCCAAGGTATATAATGGGAACTGATTGTACACACGTTACCTGGCACATTCTAGGTGTTTATTCAACCTCCCTCTCTGCGTACTTCACAAACACAGAGCACTTCTGTGCCCGGCACTGTTATAAGTACTTTTTAATATGAATTGGTTTATTCCTCATAACAACCGAATGAGGTAGATAGCATCACCATCATCCCCATTTTACAGGTGAGGAAACTGAGGCACGGGGCTAAGTGTTTTCACCAAAGTCGCACAGCTAACGAAGAGCAAAGCCAGGAGAGTCCGGCTCCAGGGTCTGCTCTGAAGCACCACACTGCTCCAGGCTTTCCTTTTCCCTTCCAGTAAAAGGCTGCGTCCAAAGCTTCAGGGGTCAGGACATGACTAGGAGGTAGGGGAGGTGGGTGCAGTACAGCCGCAGTAGCCATACGCCAAGTCCCAGCTTGACTCAAGAAAACAGACAATTGCCTGCAGCCTGGTTTCTATGGGCCTGTGGAAGCTCTGTCAGGATGCGTCAGCCTCTTCCTATCCCAAAGTCTCAGGCAGGTGAGGTGACCATGCTATGCCACATAGCCCAGCGAGTGAGGAAGGGGGGAGGCAGGAAGCCCGAGGGCTCCGCTCACTCACCTGGAGCCCAACGCTGTCTGCCTGACCGCCTTTGATGAGGTGGGAGATGAAGAGCCCACAGCCGAACTCGAGGCCGCCTCGCACGCTGAGGCCGAGGCCTTCGGGATGCAGACGGTCCAGGCGCACCTCCTTCAGCTTCCTGCCAGAGGAGACGCCGCTGATGGCTCAGCTCTGGCCTGACCCTTCCCGTGCTGCGCCACCCACTGGTGAGCGACCCAGTCCATCCCAGGCGACCCCTCCGACCCCCTGCCTTTACCCTGGGAGCTCCCTCGCACCTGGAGCGCCGGGGGGTCAGTTCGTCGTACTCCACCTGGTGCTTCAGCGGGATCAGGGGCCTGATGGCATCAAACAGTGGCAAGCGGCTGGGCTCGTTGATGACCAGCTTTAGGTCTCCCACGAGCACTGCCACGTCCATGGTCCTGCGGAGACACAGGGAACAGGTGGAACCTCACCCGTGGCCTTGACCTCTGAGACCCAAGGATTCCCAGAGGAAGCAGTGCTGGGCTGTGTCCCCGCCATTGGGCTCAGGCCTTGGGATTGAGGAAAACTCGTCCTGCAAAGCCCAGAGCCCCTACCTCTGGGCCAGGTGCCTCAGGAGAGCTTTGTTCTCTCATGTAAGTACCACAAGGAAACTGTGACATAGGGATTGTTCACCCATTTTGCCAATGAAATCAAGTCAGGATTCAAACTCCACTCTGCCTAGTTCTGAAGCCCGGGATCTTTCCAGACAGGAAACCTCATGTGAGATGGTGGTGACCCCTATGACCCCCTGGTCTCCCGCTTGTGGTCTGCAGCTAAACTCTGTGAATTCTCCCTTCACAGTATCTCTCGCCTGCCTTCTCCTCTCAATGTCCAGGCCCCCAAGTGCCTCTGGCCTGCACCTCTCTAGCTGTCTGCTGACTTGCTCACTCTCATCTAATCTTTTCTAAGTGTAAGTCACTCCTCTTCTCAAAACCCTTCGATGGCTACCCACTGTTCACGGTCCACTCTCCCTGGCAGGCTCAGGGCCTCGATGACCTGTGTCCNTCCAGCAACCACTGGCCCAGGGGCAGTGCTGGCCTAGGGGAAGCCAGACCCCCGGGCTGATCCCAGGACCCTGAGCCCACAGGGAAGGGTGTGCCTACAGAGGAGGCTCATGCTCACCTCTTCACAGGGATCAGGCCGATATCTGTGAGAGAAAAGCACGGGGGTTAGGACGGCGCCTCTGCCCTCCCTTTCTCCCCTAGGAGCTGGGTTCCCTGCTGCCTACCGCACTCCACCCCACCCTCAGCATTCCCCACCATCTAGCCTCACTCACGTCTCACTTTGATGGACACAGTCTTCTTGGTGCGGATGAGGTTAATGACCTCCTCGTGGGTGCACGAGGAGATGGAATATCCATTGATCCGGACGATCTCGTCTCCTACCTTGGCCACAGACAGAGGGAACATCAGGGGCTTGGGCAGGCTCACGGCCGGATGCCCCGGGCCTGCTCTCCAGGGAGGGGGATGACAGCTATGTCTTCCTTCAGAAGAAACCTTGATACATGTGCCCTAGTGCCTCGGCACAAGCAACCCACCCTCTATCAGCCACAGGGATCCCAGGGCGGTGGCACTTCCAAGCTGTCTTTCTGCCGCGTTTTATAGTGGGGGAACCAAGATGGTGGGCGAGGGGCATAGAGAGTGGGTAACAGAGTTGGGAGAAGAAGTCAAGTGTCTGTACCCTGGTGTCTCTTTCACCCCACTGGGGCACCACTGAATTCTGGAATCCATGCAAAAGGGTGACCCTTCACCCAGATTCCAGCAGCTCTTCCCTGGCCTTTGTCCCACCCTGCCCCAAGGAGCAGGCTCCCTCGCATCACCATAATGGAGTCAGGGAATTTCCATGACTCCTGACTCAAGCTCACATCACTGACACACATCCAATCTCTTTTTTTCCACTCGGTGGAAACTTGATGGACATTTTAATCTACCACAGCCCTGACCTCTGTATTCCCCGTGCTGGGCATAAGCAAAGAACAGTGAATGAATATAAGGCTTTGGCATAAGTTGTCCTGGGTTTAAACCCCTGCTTTTATTCTTATTAGCTATGTGACCTTGGTCAAGTCTCTTGAACTTTCTGAACCTCAGGGTCCCTCATCTGTAAAATAGGAAAATGCTGTGGTTGCTGTGAGAATTGAGTGTGTACATGTAAAGTTAGCCGGTGTCTGGCACTCCAAAAGTAATCAATACATGGTTGCTATTGTTATCATTAGTTGGGCCTGAGCTCAAAATACTCGGATCATATCCTTCTTCTCAGGACTTAGGCCTCATTAGATCACGAGAGATGAGGTTCTCAGGGGCCTGAGAGGCCAGCCCTGGATACAGCTGCGTGGTGAGATTGCCCCCTGCTGGACACTGCCCTGGTTCCTCCAAGGACCTCAGCCCTGGGATCCGGCCTGAAGCCCCTCATTTAATAACTTCAGGGCAGGAAGGACCCTCAGACATCAGTTCAAACAGGCCCAGGGAAGTGATGTTTTGTCCAACGTCGCACAGCCATTAGCTGTAAAATAGGGACTGGATCCTGGATTCCTCTCTCCAGCCTGAGGCCAGAGCAGGTCATCTGGGTGCTTAGCTCACATAACATGTGCTGACCCTTTGGAGACTTGTTGGTCCATGTGGCGGATGCTGTGTGGGGTCTGGGGGCTGGGCAGGCAAACAGCCTCTGAGGGGTCCTCTAGGCCAACTCCTACCCTCTACAGCACCCCCAGCCACCTTCTCACTGTTGCCACCTGGAAGCTTTCCTTCCACACCTGGACACAGACCCCAATCTTCTCAGGGGCCTGAAGGAAGTATCAAGGGGCTCGAAAAGTTTCCATAGGGAGGGGCTCACTGAAGAACTCTCTGGGGCCATCTCCTGCAAGGACAACAGGTGAACTAGCTCTCTGCACCCACTTTTTTACAACAACTCTGTGTTTCTGTTCATCAGATGAAGGAACTGAGGCTCAGGCAGGTGAAATCACTTGCTTAAGGTCACCCAGCCAGAAACAGTGTTGCTGGGATTTGAAGTCAGGTCTCCCTGACAGACCCTAAGCGTTGTCTGTTGGGCATCCGGAAGCAGCAAGAAGGGCATCTGGCCAAGTCTGGCTGAAGTTCCCTGTGTCCTGCCTTCTCTGGATCCTTGCCACCTATCAGATCCCTCATGTCCCACAGGAAAGGCAGGGATTATTGTGTCCATTTTACAGCTGGAACAACCAAGGCACAGAAAATCATTCTCTGGCCCTGGACTATACAGCAAGTTGTGCAGCACAGACCGCCCTGTGCAGGGCAGGGGCATAGATTCACACAGGATACACTTGGAAAAAAAATCTGAAATATCTCCAGTAGGGGGATAACAGCAGAGANTAGGCCAACTCCTACCCTCTACAGCACCCCCAGCCACCTTCTCACTGTTGCCACCTGGAAGCTTTCCTTCCACACCTGGACACAGACCCCAATCTTCTCAGGGGCCTGAAGGAAGTATCAAGGGGCTCGAAAAGTTTCCATAGGGAGGGGCTCACTGAAGAACTCTCTGGGGCCATCTCCTGCAAGGACAACAGGTGAACTAGCTCTCTGCACCCACTTTTTTACAACAACTCTGTGTTTCTGTTCATCAGATGAAGGAACTGAGGCTCAGGCAGGTGAAATCACTTGCTTAAGGTCACCCAGCCAGAAACAGTGTTGCTGGGATTTGAAGTCAGGTCTCCCTGACAGACCCTAAGCGTTGTCTGTTGGGCATCCGGAAGCAGCAAGAAGGGCATCTGGCCAAGTCTGGCTGAAGTTCCCTGTGTCCTGCCTTCTCTGGATCCTTGCCACCTATCAGATCCCTCATGTCCCACAGGAAAGGCAGGGATTATTGTGTCCATTTTACAGCTGGAACAACCAAGGCACAGAAAATCATTCTCTGGCCCTGGACTATACAGCAAGTTGTGCAGCACAGACCGCCCTGTGCAGGGCAGGGGCATAGATTCACACAGGATACACTTGGAAAAAAAATCTGAAATATCTCCAGTAGGGGGATAACAGCAGAGAGATGGGGGCCCAGGGCTGGGTCCTATTGGTGGGTTTAAGCCCCTACCCATGGCCCAGCCTCAGAGGTCAAATCAGCAGGCTGTGTCTGACCATGCTCCTCCCCTGCCTTCCAGAATCTTCCTCCAGCCTCTCTCAGGCATGAGATCTCCCCAGAAACATGAACCCAGAGAGGTGAATGGATGCAGACATTTCCCCCCAGCTCCTGTAAATGAAGTTCCCTGTCTTGTTCCTAAAGGGAACCTGCCCGGGACCCCAGTCAGAATGATTCCCACACAGCCCCTGGCTCAGGTTGCAAGATCAGCTTTCCTGTCCCTCTTGCTCCCGCGTGGAGCCCTGCAAAAAGGCCCTTTGTGCCAGGGCCACAATGAAATGACGATCTGAGGGACAGCGGCACAAAGGAGAGATGAGCCCGTCTGCCCCAGAAAGGGTTGATAACTCATAAGCCTGAGAAACAGGCAGGAAGATAAAACTTGGTTTCATTAAAATGCCCCAATGCCCCCCAATCACGGAGACATCATTGAGAAATGCTTGTTCTAGGAGGAGAGCTTGCCCTGGAAAAAAGAGGGACTCTGCTGATGCCAGGAGAGGAGCTCATTATGTTTTTTTCTCTGGCTGCGTTTCTGGGCTGGAAAATGTGTGGCATAGGAGAGGAGTAATGAAGCAGCTGAAATTTCAGACGCCACCGGCGAGCCGTGAGACAGGGATTTAGAACAAAGCGTTGTCTGTCAGCTCCCAGTTTCCACCTCCCTCTCCACGGTGTCTTGTACCCTTCGCCCCCTGAAGCCCCCTGGCTCAGCAGCTCGGATTGGGATGTTGATAACAAACATGCTGGGAGCTCTGGGTGGGGGTGGGAGGGCCTCCTTCAGCTGGACATACAAAAACACAGCTCTGGGCTCCGGCAGGAGGGAGACCTGGAGGTCTGCCCATCTCTGCTCAGACACCAAGGTGTGGGGACCCCAGAGGAGGGGCACCTGGGGTGTTGAAGAGAGATCCTTGGGCTTGGCAGTTAGGACCCAGGGGTTCAAATTTTGGCTCTGTCACTTCCTGGCTGTGGCTCAAGTCAAGATCTGAGCCTCTGTCAACTCTATAAAATAGGGATGACACAGCCAAGGTATATAATGGGAACTGATTGTACACACGTTACCTGGCACATTCTAGGTGTTTATTCAACCTCCCTCTCTGCGTACTTCACAAACACAGAGCACTTCTGTGCCCGGCACTGTTATAAGTACTTT